GGATATAATGACTTCCTTCTGTTTTTTGTCATTATTTATGTTTTTGTTTCCCTCATTTTTGTTGACTCAATCAAATACATTCCAGTTTTTCCTTTGTGTGTGTGGAAGTGCTATACTTTCCAGTTCCATTCATAGTTTCTTCCTCTTTGTGTTTATAATCTGACACATCTTTCTATATTTTTACTTGAAAATGGGATAGTAAGCATCTCCCTCACCACCACAGGCTCTAACTCCCTTTCCCAACCCCTCTCCCTAGAAAGACTAACCCTTTAGAACACCTTCACTTCCCTTCTTCTCTCCCTCAGGTGAGACCTCTGGAGCATTTCTGTTAACCTGATCTCCATTCTCAGGACCTAATTCCTGAGGACTGTAGACAGAGTTGAGTACCTGTGGTTGTAGATGGTGATTAGACTTTTCCTTGCAGGATGCTCAATGTGTTTCAAAAGTCCTATTTATCATTTAGATCAGAAGTGGACACACTATAGCTAGAGGCCCCAATGCTGCCCAGTATCTGTTTCTGTATGGCCTTCAAGCTAGGAATGGTTTTTCAATTTTCCAATGGCTTGAAAAACATCAAAAGAAGGATATTTCCTGACACAGGAAAACTATGAGAAATTCAAATTTCAGTGCCATCAATAAAGTCTTACTGGCACCCCACCACACATACTTGCTTCTACCTTCTCTATGGCTGCTTTTGTGCCCCAGTGTCAGAGTTGAGCAGTTGTGACAGAGACCTAGAAGGTACTGGGTGCTATGACTCTGGGATGGCTTCACAGCAGCTCACCCAGCCATATGTTTTATTTATTCATTTCTATTATCAGTGCACAGGCACCATGTCAAAACAGGAAAAGTGGACTTCGAATGTCACACTTTTAATGCCTGGTGAGGTGCAGATTATTATTTTATCGAATTACATGGCAGAGTTCTGTGTTTTTTATGGACTGTGTTAATAAAATACAGCATATACTAACATCACAATAATCCTAGCTCACAGAAAAAAAAAATGAGACAATTTCAAGCAATACATCTCATCACAGCAGAATTTCTTCACAAAACAAAAAGACAGAGAGAGAGAGAGAGAATAGGCTACAATCAAAGTAAGTTTCCAAGTGGTTCATTTGTTAGCCAAGCGAGGAAAGCCATTTGCTGGTGGTAAGTTAATTAAATCGTGTTTGAGTGTATAAAGTATCCAGAGAAAAGAAGCTTGTTAAAGATGATCAGATTTGGTGCAAGGGCAACTGCTTGGATGTGGCCCAAGGGCCACAGACACTGTAGGTGACACCACCGTGAAAAGCCACATCTGCAGAGTTGGACCCATCCTCTAGTGTGAGCAAGTGAAGCAGAGCACAGAAGTAAGAGAAGACCTGGGGAGGGTTAACAGCTGGCCTCTTCATGTGCCAAGCACTGTCCTCAGCATTTTGTATTTATCTCACCGTTACATTCTTTCTAGAACTTACCACTACCTGAAAACATCTAAGGTATTATTCCTTGTCAGTCTCCCCTGTGAGAACAAGAATTCTGCCTGCCTTGCTGTCTCCCCAGTGCCTCGCACACATAGGAGCTAAGTAAACATCTGGACATATGCATGAATGTCTTTTAGGCAATGGGCTCAGAAGGACTATATGCCTTAAGTTTGTCCAGATGGAAAGTATCCATTCAACATATATCTGTATAGGGCTGGGCCTTCCTCGTCTATAAATGGAGGATGTTGTAGACATCCCACCCCACGGGGCAGCTCTGCAAAATTCCCTGGTCCTGCCCGTGTTTCCAACTAGGAGTGGGTCAGGCTGGTACTGAAGCCCAGGCCTCCACGTTTGACCAGTCTGCCACATGGCAAAGACCGTGGCCAACTAAGTGATCTGAAAATCTCTGTGTACTCTGGGTCCTGCTCAAAGCAAATGGGGCTGCCTTTTGGAGTAAGTCCAGCCTTCTAATCGTGAGCTATACTAGGAAACCTCCTTCCTGTTTCCCCTGAGCTAGACTTAACTCAGATATGAAGCCACTTCACCGTGAGGTGGAGACAGTCTGCTCCTCAAATGAATGAGGCTGTTGATGTAAAATGGCTGCCCAAGGCATACAGTTGTTACATGGTACCGCTAAGGGTTGAGTCCAGGCTGTGTGATCCCAGAAGTTCAATGCTTACCAACCTGACTAAGAAGAAAAGTCTCTTGCCAAGGAGACTCCAGCTTCTTGAGAGCACACTAGCCTCTCAGCTCACTGGGCAAGAATTTAACAGACATGCTGGAGAGATAAGGGCTCAGAGGCCAGTCAGTGCTGGGTTCAAATCCTGACTTGACCATCCTGTGACCTTAGGCAGGTTGCTTCACATGTCTTGAGCTGGTCTCCAGCATGGCTGCCTTTGCAGAGGGGCCCTGATGGCCTGAGTTCAGAGCAGGAAGAAAACGAGCTTTTTTTGGAGTAACTTTTCATGTTGTTTGAATTATTTTTTACCATGTGCATATATTACCTCTCCCAAATATTTACATATAATTTTAGGAGGAAGAAAGTGATCTACTTAATAATTTCAAAAAAAAGTGCATAGGAAAATAATAACCTCCTTCTTGAATCTTTATAAGGCTTCAGAATAAGGTATGCAGCCCGTAATGGCACACAGTAGGTGCTAAGTAAAAAGAGTAGGGATCGGCTGGAGGGGGGCGGGAGGCAGGTGTATTCCTGCCCCTGGGCCCAGAAACGAACCTGTGACACAGGACAGGTGTCCATTCAGCTAGAGCCTTAAGGGGCTGGTAGAGGGTACTCAGGTGCTGTGCTCTTTCCTTCCTTGCAGGACTCCAGTCTCAGGACTCCTCCACACACAGCCATAGCCCTGCCCGAAGCAGTCCCTGGTGAGAGGGAGGCTTTCTGCTCAGACTGTCTGCGCGGGGTCTGTTGCCTGCAAGTCTGGGGCTCTTCTGCCTCCACTTCTGGCCTCCCCGGACTGAGGAGGAAAGGGCCAGCGGCCCCAGGGACACCCCAGCCTGGTGGCAGGGGCTGGCTCTGGCTCAGCACGTCTCCTGGACGCCCCCCCACCCCACCATGGCCCCTTAGGAGGCAAGAGGCATTCAATGGTATGTTTACTTGCTCCTCACAAACCCACACTCCTCATTCTCGAAGGAAGTCACTGCTGCTCCACCACCAGCAGGCCTGTGTGGGGCAATTAGACCTATGAACTCACCAGTGGGACATTACTCCATGACAGATATTTCACCAGAGAATAATTATACTTCATAAGACTGCTAATAAATCAAGCGAGACAAATGAGCAACGTGCACTTTATCACCTTCGTCCTCAATCAGCATCTCAGGGCTGGCCCGCGGGTGAGGGAGCCTTTGAGTGGCCCCCATGGTCAGCCCTTGACCCCTCCTGGCAGCCCTGGGACTTTAGGCTGCTGCTCCGCAGATGAGGAAGCCAACCTTCACGGAGGGACAGACAGCAACAGCGGTGGATGGGGTGGAGGGTGGAGGGGTGGGGGCAGTCATGGCTCCAGCTCCAGGACTCCAGCAGCAGCACAGGGTGACCAAGCCTGTCCGCCTGAGCGGGTGAGGCTGGCCTCAAAGTGGGAGGCCTGAGATTACAGAGCTAAGGATCCTGAGTTTCGATAGACTGTGAGTAGGTAAGTAAGCAACTTCTACCGATTCTCCCATCAGAGGGCAGGTCTAGACACAGGCAGAAGAGGAAGGGAATCGGGCCTGAGTCCGAGGAAGAATCCTGAGAGAAGGAGGGAGTGAGTGGGAGCCTCTGCAGTGAGAGTTCCAGAGGAGAAACGTGGGGATCCAAGAGAGGGGAAAGAGACACTGGAAGCCCCGACCCCGGCTGGCCCCCAAGGCCCTGACACTTTCTCCTGAGTGCCTTTTTGGTGAAGGTCAGACCCCACGCTGGGGCCCATGCTGATGTGGGCAGGGCCCTGAGCCCAGAGGGGTAACCCTCATCCTGCCGTTTAAGGAACGGAACTGCAGCCTGGCTGAGGGCCTCCCAACACTGGGGTCTCAGCACAGCCGTGCTCACCCACTTGGACAGGAGTCCCAGGACTACCCACAGCCAGGCCTGCCCTGCAGGGGCCCACAGCCGGGGAGGAGTGAGGTTTGGACATTCTCTCCCCATCTCTTTAAAGCCCAGGAGGCAGGGATTCCCACTGAGACCTACAGTGAGAGACAAGCAGGGGGATGGGGCCCACCTGACAGAAGGCAATCCCAGGACTTCAGGACCTCCTTTGGGTCTAGGCTACTGCATTTGCCCCCTCTCGTGAAAGGCCTGTGAACCAGACTGGCTCACCCATGGCTCGAGACCTGTATCTAGTATTGACACCAGAAACCTTAGGAAGCCAGCAGCCCAGGCCTCCCACTGTGTCCCCTTTCCACTGTGTCCCCTTCCTGTACCTTCCCACCTCTTGCCCTCTGACACTCTTTGCCACCATCATTCCCCACACCCCCCACCCCACAGGCTGAGGACCCGCTTGGCCAGGCCCCACCCCACAGGCTAAGGACCCACTTGCCCAGGCCTGCCCTACAAGGACCAGCCATGCTCCCTCTGTTGATGTGACCCAGCAGGCACCCTGCCTGATGAAGGTTCAGTTCCTACTGAGGACACGAGAGCAAGGGCCTGGTCATCAGGCTGGGAGGGGCAAGGCCCGGCCTCTTACCTGGAACTCAAGGAGGCCACTGACAACACTGGCTTCCGGCCCAGGTGAAATGCTGCTGTCTGCAACAGTTAGCGTGAGGGCCCGGGGCTGCTCTGCCCTACACAGCCACCTCCACCCCTGAAGGAGACAGGAGCAGGTGCCGTGGGGCTCCCCTGCCTTGGTGCAGGCCCTGGCTCTATGACTGAGGGCTAGGAGAACGCAGGCCACTCAGCCACTCTGGGCCTCAGTTTCCTTGTTTTAAAACCTCAGAAGTTGGGACCAGAGGCCTCTGAGGTCTTCCTGGTTCTCATCATGGACCCCAAACATGTCCATCCCGGCCACCTGGGTCCGACAAGTCAGGATGATGGGCGGAGGGACTGCTTACCCGTTCTACAAGGCCATGTTTGTGCTTCAGCTTATACACTTTCAGCCTGGGCAAGAAGCTCTCGGCATAGTCCTTGTCCTCCAGGCCGTGCAGCAGGACGCCGTGGAAGGCCAGCCGGCACATGTTGGCATGAATGTCCGCATCTAGCCTGGAGCCAATCACCAGGCACAGCCGAGGGCAGGTGACAGGCTTCTCAAATTCCACAAGGGCCCACTGCTGCCGTGGGCAGCGGCCTTCGGCGGCCTGGCCCGTCTTCTTGTCAGTCTCATCACTGTCCGTCCCCACTGGTGCCAAATCCTTCTCTAGGTACTGCTCCTGGAAGAGGTATTCTCGAGAGAAGTCGAAGGAGTCCAGCACAGGCTCGTGGTCAAAGCTGTCGGGGGCAGGGCTGAAGAACATCAACCGGCCCATGACCGTCTCATGGCCCACCGTGATGTGGAACTTGGCTTTGGTCTGCAGGGGTGCCCGGAAATATGGGATCTTCTCCACAGAGATGATGGCTGCGTGGACAGTGTGCAGGGACTCGGGGGCACACACCAGGCCGCGCTCCAGCAGCTTGGGGTCAAACTGGGTGACGCAAATGCCCAGGCGGTCTCCCTGCATGGCTGATGTGACAGGCATGTGAAACATCTGCATGGACTTCACCTTCTTCACCACCTGGGGGGCAGCAAAAGAGAAAACTCAGGAAATGAAGAGCCTTGAGGCTGGTGGGGAGGGCTTCCAGCTGGAGAAGTCCCCATCCCAGGACTGCCAACACCAACCCGGCCCCGGGCATGGCACCCCAGAAGAGCTCTGGGGAGCTCAGACTCCCCCTGGCCAGAACAAGCTCCACCCTGCAAACATGAGGCTCGCGGGGTCCCCTGGTCCAGGATGCGGGTGGTGGTCAGCCAAATCCTCAGCTACCTTAGCTCCCTCTGTCCCTCTAGTCGCTGCTCCACCCCAAACCCCATTCCAGCACTTTCTTGCCTTCAGCCCTCTGTAGAGGGCTTGTCACCACATGCAGAATGGCTCCCCCAGGTCCTCAGGCTGCCAAGCTATGGCCATTTGTCCTTGAAAGCCCAGGCCAAACCCCATTGCTCTAGAAAGTCTACCCTGACCCACAGTGGGTAGGGTCTGTCCCTCTCTCTTTGGTGCGACTCCAAGCTCCTCTGAGTCATACACAGCCTGCTCTGCTGTCACTGCCTATTCTGTGCCGATCTGCCCACGAGCCTGTGTGCTTCTCCAGGAGAGGTCACAATGAGGGACTACAGCGTGACAGAGACTGTTCTGGCGGTGGGAACAGAGTGAGAAACAGCAATAGAACTATAAATACGTTAACATTAACTAAGTTTGTGCTGATACAATTATGAAGCTTTGTGTGTCAATATATAACTAACATAATTCTATACATATAATAGAGTACTATATTACATATAATATGTATACATATATAAAATATATAGAGAAGGCCTAGCGTGTAAGGGGAGATCTGGCTTTTCAGAGCGGTGGCCAGGGAAGACGTCTATAGAGGTGATGACTCAGCTAAGACCTGATTATAAGAAGTTATGTGAAGGTCCAGAAAAAGAGAGTTCTGAACAGGGAAACTAATGAATGTACAGGCCCAGGATGGAGGTTCTGTGGGTCTGAGAAATAAACAAAGAGGCGGGAGGGCTGCAGCAGGGAGGGCAGGGAGGGCAGGGAGGAGAGGGCAAGCTGGAAGTGGCAGAGGAGTTTAGGCAAAGGAGTAACCTGATCTTATCTCTGGAAACCACCACACCAACTACTACACCAGGCAGATTTCTGCACCCACAGTTCATAAATCAGGAACAGACATAGGAAAGGCTCTAATAAATGTTTGCGTAAATCAATGAACATTCCTACTAAGATCCACTGTCGGAGAGATGAGATCACGCTTAGCACAGCAAAGGAATGGGTAATGTATTTCAGAGAACCTGCCATCGAAACTGGCTCAGTTAAAGACACTTTGGCCTTCAGGTTGTCGAGCACCCCCATCTGCAAAGCCCGGGTGTGTGGAGCACTCGTTTTCTCCTTGGATAAAGGGAGAATACTGAGCCGCTCCAGGCGCAGGAGGCCAGACCCTTTCCTGGAGAGCCATAATACTCAAGTGTTTGTTTAAAGATCATTAACTACCTAACCAAGAGGTCAGGGGGCAGAGAAAGTGAGAAGTGTGGTGTCAAAAGCCACAGCCAAGATCAATCAAAGAGAAACATAAAACATCTCTGAAATGGTCTACAAGGGCAACGGGAAACTAAGATTTTCAGGAATGCACCTCAGAGTAACCGGAGAATATTATCTTACACTAAGCGTCTGTCCAGCGAGGCAGGCCCCAAATCACAGCTCTTCGCCCCCGCCACCCACCCCAAGCCTGTAGCTGCCCGGTGAGCTGTCCTCTGGCCCCCACCCCACCCGTCTCCCTTCTCCAGGCCAGCTTTCTAAAACATGTCGGATGATGCAATTCCCTTGGCACCGACCACTACACGGGCTCCCCTCTTCACATCACTACTTTCAAACCTTTTGGGCACAGCTGTTGTGAGCAGGCAGAGCCTCTGGTCATGTAAAATTCTATAGGGAATCAGCCCCCTGGCCGCCGCCCTCCCACCCCCCACACTGGGGAAGCTGCTCAGGGAAGGTCGGGGGCTCTTAACGCCCCCTTGGCTGCCCCATCAAGGACTTCTGCTTGCCTGGCTTCTCCGCATGGCCTGCCCCACATTCTCCCAACACCCGAAGCCACAACCAGGGGCAGCTTGAACAATTCGCTACATACAGAACCACATGTGCATTCTGCCTGTGAGGACCCTTCTCCCTGGGACTTCTTCCACCTGAAATTCCTGTTCCTCTCAGGACACCTCCTGGAACAGCTTCCCTGCTCACTCCAGACCGAGCTGGTTACGCTGCTTGGCTTGCTCTGAAGCTGACGTCCTGCGTTGCCATCGCTGCTTCACGGTTCCACAGTCTGTGCCTCCGCATTCTTAAATTACGACAGAGTAAATATCCGGGCCCCCATCGTCCACCCTGAGAACTAAAACATTACCGATAACTTCACTGTCCTTCTGTGCTCCTCCCCCACCTAGGTCTCCTGCCTGCCTCCCAGCTGGAGGCAACCACTCTCTTGAATTTGGTGTATGGCATTCCTTTCTTTTTAGATATACGTGTACACGGTTGTGCGGAGGCTCACTACATATGTAGTACATATGCCTAATCAATACTTCGCTTTGTTTTCGGAGTGTTTGAACTTGGGAGTTTGTGCCCGTGCCGCCTACACCTGCAGCTCATTTGCTGCTGATGCTGTATGTCACACAGCACACACAGAACCCCACCCATTCGGCCTCCTGTCGATGCGCACCTGGGTCATATCCAGTTTTTTTGCTGGAAAATGATGCAATGAATTCCCTCTCAAACCAGAGTCCTGCCTGATGCACAGCACAGGGAGGGTTCTGGAAGACGGGGGCCCTGGGCCAGAACTTCTGGGTCAGGGGTGAGTGAGGGCTCATGTCTTCTAGATAAAGAAAGTACCAGTGTACTCATCCAGCCACAGGCCAGAGACTCTTGATGGATCTGTGTCTTCTCCAACATCTGTCATGGCCAGATTTCTTAATATTTGCCTATCAGACTTGCTTATTTCCCCTTTTAAATCCAGGTTCCTATGGCTGCATCTTGGGGCCTAGCGTAAAGGGCGGTTGACAGATGCTGCTTATGGAGACCCAGTGAAATCCCCAGGCCATCCAAAGAGAATGGCTGCATCTCATTCTGGAAGAGAAATGCCCCTCATGGCAAAGAAAGCATGGAGCAGAGATTCCAGAGCGCCAGGGCCTGAGTGAGCTCTTGGTGTTTCAGATGCTCCCCGGGATCGCAGCCCCCCCATCCCCGACTGTCGGCCCCCACCCCCACTAGCAAGTCCATCTCCAAGCAGGCTTCATTAAAAGCATGTTCTTTTCAACGGGGCTCGTGTTCTTAGGACTGAAATAATAAAGAATGCCTTAAGAGGGCACCGTGAAGAGCAGAAAGACAAATAACTGTGCAAATCAAGATTTCAAGGGCCCAGACAGGAAATTGTGAAACAGATAAAGATGGGGACAGGGCGGCGAGGCATGACTGTGGGCTCTGGTGGGGGCGTGCAGCCGCATCAGCACACGGACTCGCCGACAAGCCCCCATTCTACAAGACAGACTTCAAGAATGTAAGAGACCATGGAGGACACCAAAAATACGGGAAAGTAGTTTTGCCAACTCCAGAACGGGGGAAAAAAAAAACAAAAACAGGCTTTCCTTTCATTTATGGGCCAACTTTGAGAGAGTCCATCCATCTACTCAACAGCTCACTCGGATTTACTGATATTCAAGTTGAGTGGCAGAGGGCATTCACTCAACACGTGTTTATCAAGCCTCTCTCACGGACCAAGCGTAGGCCCTGCAGTGATACAGGGTGAGCAGAACGGACTCTGGAGTCTACTGCTGGGGGTCGGGGAAGAGGTGTGTGTGGGGCAGCTTATAAAGTCATCATCTGATAAGTGCAGATTACAAAACCACGGGCGAGGTCCTATGGGAGAGAGTAACTGGGTGATGCAATCCTTTCTGTGTCATCGGGGAGGGCTCCCCGGAGGAGGTGGCACTAAAGAGGAGACCAGAGGAGTAGAAGAAACCAGCCACAGGGGCTTCGGGCAGAGAGAAGAGCAGAGCAGGTCTGAGGCTCTGAGGTAGGAAAGAACGTGAGCTGTGGTGAGGTGCGGGGGGGTGGGACTGAAAGGCAGTGGGCTGGCTAGGGGGGTGGGGGCCGGGGGCGGGGGCATCTGGTTGGAGACATGGGCCCACCACCTTCACCATGAGGACACTAGAAGCCCCCCAGTGGTAGTGGGGGCCTGGGGTTGAGCAGAGGAATGACACGTGCTCTCACGCGCTTTGACAAGGTCACTTCGGCTACACGGTGTGGAGAAATAAGAAAGGAAAGAGGGAAAGCAAGGAAGGAACCGTGCAGTACCATGCTGTGGTGTGCTGACAGACCGGATATGGAGACGACAGAAACACGGGCACATGAGGACAGACTCCCCGGTCCCAGCTGGAGGAACAGCCTTGCGCTGCGGTGAGGAGGGGTGGCTGAGAGATCTGTGCCTGGGAGAGGCCTGCAAGGCAGCTGGCAGGAGGTGAGCACAGAGGTCGGAGCTGCAGGAGAGGTGGAGGCTGGAGGGGGATGTCAGGGGCTGGGAAAGGAAGACTCACACACCTGCCTCTAGCCTTTCCACCTGGAGGTCTGGTAGGTACCTCCAGCCTCCCACATCTGAGACTCCTCTCCTTCCTTCTGTCTCAGAAACGGCAACTGTGTGTTTCCAGCTGCTCGTGTGAAAATTTTGGGTCCACCTTGACTCGTACACATACCCAGCCATCGGGTGCTCTAACAGGCTTCACCTTCCAAACAGGGCCAGGGCCCAAGCCTGGTTCTCTGCAACCCCTGTCCATGCTGGTCCCAGGCCCACCTGGCTTTGATAACTGCCCCTTCCCCAGCAGCCTGTTCCCCACAGAGCAGCTTAAACCTAAGATAGGACTCTGCACTTTCGCCTCCAAGCCCTTTACTGGCTTCCTATCTCCCTCTGTATAACTAACGTCCTTGCTAGGACCCCAAGGTCCTACAGTCGGGCCCTGTCATTTCTCTTGATTTTATTCGCT